TTTTAATATTTCATTTATTTTTATCTCTCCTTCGTATTTCTTTCCTAAAAATTAAACTATTTGTAATCTTATGTTATTTCTTTCTGAAATTAAATTTTATTCCTTTAAAAGTTAATTGTTATTTTGTTTTAATTATTATGATTCATTTCTTGTATTTTTGATAGACTAAGACTTTTATTTTTGTTATTATTATTTTTTTATATATGGAAGACATTATTTTTTATGATTTCTCCAATCTTATTTTTGATGCTCTTATGAACAATAAAATATGCATTAGCATTCTGAGCAGCATAAATTAGTTTATTTATTACATATTTAACATAAAAGAAGATTATTCATTTTATTATATAAGTAAATTTTATTTTAAAATTGTAAAAACTTATATTAAAAACAATAATAAAATAATTATTATATATTATTTTATTTTTATTTAATATTTTTTTTATATATAATATAAATAATTAAAATATTAAACAATATATATATTTTTAATACAAAAGACAACTATAAAAATTTACATAATTTAATTTTTTTTAAATATATATATATATATATATATAAATATATATATATATATATATATATTAATATTTATATTTATATTTATATTTATATTTAACATTTTTTTTTTTCATATTCTTTTTAAATTATTGTTTGATGCTATATTGTTTATTCTTCTTGCATCATCTCTATTGTTAGTTCTTCTATTATTCTATTACTATTGATTATCTTTGTTAGCTTGAGTCATAAATAGATTAGACGCTCCCTTATGAAGTTATTCTAAACTGTTTTAATTGAAGTTGTTATGTTATTAATTATTTGATTATTAAAATTATAAATTTTTAAAATTATCTTATGATTATATGTTATAAGGATTAGTAATATTATTAGTTTATTATTAAATAAAACTATTTTAAAAATTATTATTATATTATTATTAATTTTATTAGGAAAAAACATTTTATTATGAACCTATTCCATTTTATTATATAGAGAAAATATTTTATTGTTAGTTTATATTATTTTATTAATAAAAACTTGTTTAATTATTTTAGAATACGTTATTTTAATTATTTGAAAATGGATTACTTTGTACTTGTTATTATTAAAATGATTAATTTATAGAGTTATTATTATTTAAACTAAAAACATCATTATTAAAATTATTATTTCCATTTAAACTATTAAACAAATTATTTTATTAACTTAAACTATTATTATTTAAATAATTACAACTCTCCATTTAATTTTATTAATTAGCAAATATGTTATTTTAGTTTTGTATATTATTAGTTTTATTTAATTAATTATTTCCAAACAGGTTATCATTATGATTAAATACATTTTAAGTGTTAAATCCTGCATTATTGTTTATATTTTTTGTATATTAACTATTGAAATTATTTGAGTCTTCTTCTTGGATTACACTTAAACTACTATTATAATTTTTATTATTAACTCCAAAAATATTTTAATTGTTTTAAGAAAACAAGTTTTTATTATTATTGTTATTATTAAATAATTAACTTTAGTTTTATGGTTGAATAATTTTCGAAGAATCTTAATTTTATGAACTCTTACCTTATATTAAAGATTATAAATTAAATGTATTATTTTATGATTATGCAAATGGATTTACATTTTAAGTTTAAGAAAAAACATTTTTAATTTATTATGTTTAATTAACCTAATCATTAATTTTTATTAAAGGATTCTATTAAAATATATTTAATTTAGTATTTTATTAAGAAGTTATTTCATTCTATTATTAAAAGTTTTCAGGTTTAGAATTAGATATTTAATTAGAATTTTGATTTAAGCTATTATCATTTGGTTTCTAAAAAATATTATTAGGACTTTCTTTTGAATTTTAAAATAAGTTATTATTAGTATTTTATGCTTGAATTTAGAAAAGATTATTAGTTTCAGTAGTTTAAGTAAAAGTATTACTATTATTTAACTTTGATTTAGAAAAAATACTATCTTTTTTAATTTAACTATTTAAATCATTCTAGGTTTAAGGTTAATCATTATCTTTTTAAGTTTAAGTCTAATTAAAATCATTTTATTATTTATCAAGAGAATTAATAGAGTCTTTTTATATTTAAAATAAATTAACTTATTTTTATTCTAAACTACTACTATTATTTTCCAAAGGTTTTTAAAAAATATTTTCTTTTTTTTCGTTTTATTATAAAAAAGTATTATTTTTTTAAGAGTCTTCATTATTTTTAGATTATATTTTATTTAAATCAATATTTTTAGGCTTTCTTTGGAAAAGAATTTCGTTAGAATTAAAATTTTATAAATCAGTATATGAATCTTAATTAATAACTTTCAAATTACTTTCATCAGGCTTTATAAGAGTTTCGTTATTTGTATTATTAATTGAATCTTGTATATTATTAATTTTATTTAAATCATTATTATTATTAACTAGTTCTTTTTATTAACATGAGCTTTGTATATTTTCTATATTTAATTATTATTAAGATTATATTTAATTTTATTATTATTATTAATCAATATTTTATTCAGATATTGATAAAGGAATTAATATATTTTATTATGCTTAATTATTATTTTAAACTTAATTAAAATTAGTTTCTTAGTTTTATTCACTTTTTTAATCATTATTTATTTCACTTTTTTAACCATTATTTTTTTCACTTTTTTAATTGTTTTATTATTCATTATTCTTAAATGTATTTTAATTATTTTATTGTTATTATAGTTTATATATATTTTATTCTTCTTGTTTTTATAATTATGTTTTCGGATCTTCCTAAATAGATGGTTATGTATCGACTCTATAATTAACAGAATTAAATATAAGATTAATATTAGGATTTAATTATTTATTTTCATTAAATTTTTCTTCTAAGGCTTACTTATTCTAATTTTAAATACAATTAAATTCTTTTTTTATTCTATTTTATCAATATTTTAAGCCAAATCATATAAAAAAGGATATTCAGTAATTTTAAAATCTCCTATATATTCGACATTTTTTTATTTTTTTTTATTATTATCTTTAGACTTTGCATTTCTAGATTATTCAAATATTACTCTTTAATCTTTTAAATTATAATAAGATTAGCTATTTTTACTACTATTATATTAAACTTTCAAAGTATTTTAATTTAAGTTTAAATAATTATAAAATTCGGGATTATTTTCTGGAGGAATTATTAAATTTATTTATCCTTCTTTAAATTCAAAAAGAACTTTTTACAATTCGACTTAATATTTTTTATTAATATCATTTTTCTTTATATTATTATATAAATAAATAAATAAATAAATAAATAAATAAATAAATAAATTAAAATAATATATATATTATAAATAAAATAATTATTATACTATTTATTTTTACATAATTTAATTTTATTATATTTTTTTAAATTTTTTATATATATTTAATTATTTATATTTATTATAAATTTATTTACATTTATGAAATTTTCTTGTTTTTATTATTATTATTATTCTTATATTTTATTTTATTATAATTTTTTTGATTCATCGTTTTTTTTAATTTCTTCTTTTATTTTTATATCTTCTTTTTTTTTTTATTCTTCAAATTTCTTTTATGGATTTATTTACTAGGTTTCCACTTTTTGTTTATAAATTTCCTTGCAATCATTATCTGAAATATTAATAGGATCATTTATATTATTATTATTTGCACGAGAATTGTCAAATTTTAAATTAATAGAATTAGTTGAGTCATTTAAAGATTTAGCTTAATATATATATATATATATATATATATATTTATATATATTAATTTATTTATCTAATATAATAAATTACTTAAATTTATTTACTGATTATATTGGTTTTATTATTTTTTTTATTAATAATTATTTAAATTTTACTATTAAAATTATTCATCTTTGTTTTAATTTATATTTTAAAATTATTATTAATCATTCTATTATAACTATTACTATTAAAAATATTATTATAATACAGCTTAATAAGATTAATCTTTTTAATTTTATAATTAATATCTATAAAATTTTTATTATATTTAATTCTGAACTTAATATTAGTTTTATGGTGTTTATAATATATCTTATTATATTTATTATTATTATTATTATTATTATTATTATTATTTTTATTATTATTATTCTTTTTATATATATATTTATTCATCATTTATATCAATATATTTTTTTGTTTCTAAATTTTTACTTTTAATATTCTAATTTTTATTTTATAAATAATAATTAATTTTATTCTATTCATTGTTACTACACGATTTTTAATTATTTTATATCATCTAACTTTATTAATTTTCCTAATCTTCATTTAGTTTATTTATAAAATTACTTACTTTTTATAAAATAGTTTTTGAAAACCATCTAATAAATCCCCCTTCTTCTTTTGTATTTTTTTATCAGAAGGTAAATTCGAGAAATTATCTGATCCACTCAAATTATTTCTTTTCAAGTTTAAAATTTTCCTTTTTGAATCTTTAATATGATTATTATGAAAAACATTTCGTACATTTTAAGAAAATTTGTTTTCATGAGATTAATTTTAAGAATCATATTTATTATTTTAGTTCAAATTACTCATATATTTTTTTATTTTATTTAAATTTTTAAAATTTAATTTTTTTTAATTTTTTGCTTATGTCAAAAGTAAAATACTTTTTTTTCTTCTTTTTTTTTTATATTATGTGTATGAAAAAAATTAAAGAAATTTATTTTACTTAAAAATATTTCAATAATCCGCTTATTTCTAATTTAAAAAAAAAATAAAAAATAAAATTTAAAAATATTTGAATATATTTTAATTTTTTTCAACTAATTGAATCCCTCCCCCCTCCCCCCCCCCCCTTCGCATCCCAAAATAAAAAAGTAAAAAAAAAATTAATAATAAAATAAAAAGAGTAAATAATAATAATAAAAGAGTAAAAAATATTTCGCATATATGTATAATATTAATTCTTTTACATATCTATATAAAAAAATAAAGAAATCAAATTTTTTTTACATTCAAAATAATAAATTGTTCTTTATCTAAGTCTACTAATAATTTATTTTAATCTTATCTTTTAACACAAATTTCTAGAAATTCTTAAAAACTAACAAATTTTGGTGGTATAATAGCATTTGGAAATTTTTCCTCAATTTTATCGCCCAAAACTTTAATGTTAAGCTTTTCGCAATCCTTAATAATAAGTTTCCCAATAACATCTCCTTTTAACTTTCCATCAAAAAATATATTATTAAAAAAAAAATTCGTATAACTTTCAAAATTAACTTCATTAATTTTTGTGATATCCTAAAAAGCTTAAATATAAAGTGGTTAATTCTCATATTTCTTCTTTAAATACACACAGACATTATTAAAAATACTTTCAATATCATTTTTTTTATATCCGAATTAATAAGAAGGCCTCCTCTTCAATTAAGGTAAATTTTTAATTCTTTCATCGATTTTATTTTTCAAAATACCCTTAAGTGTTTCAGAATTATTATTAATATCCTTATAAAATTTGCAATTTTTCGAATATTCAAAAGGTAAATGATTAACAATTTTTAAGACAATTTTTTCATTTTCTATTGTTTATTTTGAAATTATATTATTCATCTTCTCCATATAAATCTTCAAAATAAATTTCTCAAGTTCACTTTCGATTATCATTTAGATTTCTTCCGCTGTTAAATATTCATATAAGTTCATGCTATTTTTCCTAGACTAACTTTTATTCCAATCTTTTCCTTATTAAACGAATTTTTATTTCCCTATTTTTATTTTATATGCTATATAAGTGTTTCCTCCAGGAATTCTCCCACATGAATAAATCAAAATATAAACGAAAAAATCAAAAAGTCTTCTCCAAAAATATAAAAAATAGCCTAATAAAATCGAGCCAAATCCTAAAATAATATGCAAACATACCATAATTAAAGCAATTGCAATCTAGCAAATTCCTTTTAAAATAATCCTCAAAAAAATTAGGTCAAAAATAGGTGAGATAATCGGCAAATCCCACTTCTCATGATCTAAAGGTACTGTAAAATCAAAACAAAAAATGCAACAAAATAGTCCAAAAAAACAGTATAAAGGAGCTAATAAAAGACTGAAAGGAATTAAACAAAATAAAAACAAAGAACCCATAAAAATAATAAACCTTAAGATAATATTAGTAAAAATAAATCCCAAAATAAAATATCTCCATAAATAATTATCTAGTCTATTAAAAACTCTAGTAATAGATTTCCCCAAAAGACCCACATCAGGTTCTCTTTCAAAAGACTCGATACTTTCCTACACTTATTATTTTATATTAGAATATTTTTAACTTACAGAATCTACAAAAGAATTCTAGTCTTCCAAAAGTTTTCCATTTTAAGAGTCTATTAAAAACTCAGTGGCGAATCGTCCCGAATAGAAAACTGATTTAAATGAACATTAAGAATAAAAAGCCATTTTTATAAATATATGCGCACATTTGAATATAGAAAAATACGTCCACACTAATAATATTATTATTTTCCACCCAAAAAAAGTAGTTCCAATTTTAACTTCTTTTTAATATTCTGCAACATATAAATTTTAATAATTAGTATTTTTTTTAGCCCTAGGCTTAAAATATAGATATTTAAATATATTTATTCTAGCTGGTTCTTTTAGTTTATCACGAATTTGCTTTACTTCAAAAATACCTAAACCAGAAGTTGTTTCTTTAAAAAAAATTTACATTAAACCATACTATATGTGTAAATTTTAGTCTTTTAATTCTTTTAAAATAACTTTTTAAGTGCCATAGTTTCTTGGGTTGTTTTTTTTTTCGAAAAAAAAATGCTTTCTTAAAATACAATAGGCTTTAAAGTTATTTTCCATAGATTACAAAATAGAAGGATCAATATCTTTATTTTAGAAATGTTCGTTAATTTTTTTTAGTTACAAATCGTATAGTTTATCTTAAACATCAAAAAGATAATAAGTATCGTTTTTATTTTACTATTCATATATTTACAAAAGTTTTATATATTCAATATCTTCTGCAAAGCTAATTTTACTGATATTTTTAAAAAATAAATTAATATTGTTAAAAAATAATGTATCTAAGTATTAATTGCCACTTTATTAAACAATTTATGATAATTTATTACATAAAAATAAGCTTTACTCTTCCTAAAATTATTTCTAATTAATTTTATATAAAGGAATTCCAAAAATAAGTATAACCAAATGAACAGGAGTACCTATAATAACCCTTAAAGCCTCTAAAATGTTAATATCGTAGAATTAAAAATCACATTTATTAGAATTACAATCTCGATTTTTTAAATTATATCGGATATAATTTAATGTTTCATAAGTAAAAAACCTTCTGATAATTTATCTAAATTAATTATAAGAATACTTCAAAAAGTTATTTAATCTGATTTAACTTCTATTTAAACCTGAAAAAATCCATTCTCTTATCATCCAAACATCTGATGTATAATTCTAATCGAAATTTCTATATGATTATTATAAATATAAGTAAAATATATATATATATAAATATATATATATATATATATATATATATATTATTATATATTTATTTAAATTATTATATTTTTTAAAATTTACACTTTAAATATTCCTTTTTCCCTGATATTCTATAATTATAATTTTGTTAATCTATCAAATTTTTTTTAAATATTTTCTTCTATTTCAAGTATTTAAAATGATTATTATTTTATTAAATTATTTTTTGATGTTTCTAATTTTTATTATTGCTCATTATTTTAATAAGCACTTGTATATATTGTTTTTTTGCAATGTTCTATATAAGATATAGGTAATTCAAATATTTCTTTTATTATATTTTCCTCTTTTATATTCCATAATTAGACATTTTTATTTATGTATTCATTTATTTTATTTACACCAGGAATTTCAGTTAATTTATAATTGTGAAAACTACAAATTTAAATGTCTTTCATTTATAAATTTAAAAAATTTTCGTATTTAAATTAACGAGGAAATAAATTTATAGATTAATTATAGTTTCTAAATTCAATTTATGGCGATGATATATCATATAATAAATGCTACTTTTCGTTACTTTCTAAAGATTATATTTGTAAAAATTATTTTTATGTATCATTATTAATCATATATATATATAAATATTGTATATTTTATTTTTTAAATTTATTTAGTTATTTTTGTATTTTCTGTTTTATAAATTTAAAGAAATATATTAATTAAATTATAGTTATAATCAAAAATTTTAAAAAAAAAATTAAATAAATATTTTAATATAAAAAAAAATAAGAATATAAATATAAATATAAATATAATTATAAATATAATATTATTTATTCATTATTATATTTAAATATATATATTTTTTTCTATATAATATACTTGTAAATTATCCTTAAACCTTCTTCATATGCTTATAATTTACATAATCTTATACTTTTGATATTTAGTTTATTATTATTTTTATAAAATCTTAATTATATTTTATTTTTCCAAATTTGTGACAATATATATATTTTTTTATTTTTATTTTAATTGTTTATCATACTTTTAAATAACATTTAATTCTTCTATTGCAAAAAAAACTTTTTCTTTATTTAATTTAGATATAACTACTACATTAAATCACATTTTTACGTTTATTTTATTATTATTATTATTTTGATTTTTAATTTTTAATCTGTAAAAACTTAATAAATTTATAGTGTATACATTTTTATCGTTCCTCCTTTTTTAGTTATTCATTTTTTATTAATTTTTTTATTTTTAATTTTATTATTGTAAAATAAAATAAATAAAATTAAATATATTCTATTTTTTTTTTATGTAAAATAATTTTTCGTGTGTTATTTTTTTAAAAAAAATAATAAAAAATTTGTATTTATTATTTTAATAAAATAAAATTAATAACATTAATACCATATAAAAAATAAAATAAAAATAATAAAATCAAATTAAAAAAACAATATATAAAATATATATATATAAATTATATATATATATATTTATTATTCAATTAAATTTTATTGTTTAATTAATTTTTTTCAATCAAAAACACTACTATTTTCAGAATTACTAACTATACTCGTATCTCCTTAATTCGCCATAACCTATGTTGATAATCTTCTGATTCCATTTTAATGTATAGTTAATTAATTATTGATATACTCTTCAGAATCACAATTAAGATTATCATTATTTTATTACTAATTATTTAATTGCTAATTATTAAATAAATTTAATGTTAGAATTCTATTTCTATATTATTAAGATAGTCTTTGTAACATGTTATTTCTTTAAACTATGCTCATAAGTTAGCTGTTGCTTTATCCATTTAAAACAATATTTTAAGGACTATAATTTTAAGGTTATATAAATATTTATTTATCAATAGCAATTAAATAAAGTTTATTTAAAACAATTAAAAATTGATTAATTTATGGTCTTTATTAAATCAATTATTAATTAAATAATTGTTTTCGAATTTCTAATAAATATATTTTGTTATTGTCATTTTATATTATAATTGTATTTAAAGTTCGATGCAAATAAAGCTTTAAATTTGATTAAATACTAAGGTTATTAATTAATTTTTAAAATTCATCAATTAATTATAATTTCGATTCTTAAAAATTTGAAGAATTTTGACATTAAATCTTTTATTCTATAAATTTTTATTAAGAAGTATTATTTTATGAATATATATTTAAAAGTTTATATCCCATATTTTTTATTTATTAAAATTTTTATTATTAATATATTGGTGATTATTAATATTTTTTTTTATTATTATAAATAAAATTTAAATTATTTAAATATAATAATTTTTTGAGAATAAATAAAAAATTTATATTTATATTAAAAAAAAATTATTTTATTAAAATATTAGAAAACTATTGTAAAAATGAAAAATAAAATTAAAAAAAAAAAATTATTATTATTACTTTAATTATATGATTTTTATATAATTTTTAAATTGAAATTATTATTAAAAATATATTATTATATTATTATTATTATTATTATTATTATTATTATTATAATTATATTTATTATATTTTCTATATTTTTCAATTTAATATTATTTCTAATATAAATTAAATATTTTATTTAATAAATTTAATTTTAATTACTAATTTTAAATTTCTTATACAATATATATATTCATATATATATATATATATATATATATATATTTATATATATCATTCTATTTATTATATTTATCTAAATATATATATATAAAAATAATTATTTCGATCTTTATTTATACATGTAATTATAATATTTTTTTATGTTTTATTTTTTTGTATTATTTTTTTATTATTTATTATTTTTATCAATTTTAATCATTTTTAATATTATTTTTTTATTTAATTCATATTTTATCCGATATCAAAGCTCATATTCATAATTTCATTCTTAATTTTTTATTTATTTTTATTTTCCTCATTTATTGAATTATTTACATAAAGGGAGTTTTTCTAGTTTTTATCTTTATTTATAATTTTTTAATAATTTATACTATTGTTTTAGTTATATTATTTTTTTTAAATCCTTTGTGTAGTCTATTTAATTTCATTTTATTATTTTATAACATTTTAATTATAAGCATTTATATTTTAAATTTATATTTAATTTTTTTTTTTATAATTGTTTGTAGTTATCCCTATTTTTGTTTTTAGATTATTATAATTTTATTAGTCCTAATTCTTCTTTTTTTTTACGTTTATTTATTATATGCTTTTAATATTTTAATTTTCTTCTGATGATTCTCTAATATAATATATATAATAAATTAAATATAATTATTTAAAAATAATATATTATTTTTTATCATTTTAAAAATTTTTACTTTTTTTTAATATTATTCTATAAGTAACTATTATTTAATTTAATTTAACTTTAATCATAGCCACTAATAGCTCTTACTTTTTTTTTGTAAAAATAAGTTTATTATATATTATTATTAAAAATATTTACTTTTTCTTTAAATATCTTAATTTGAAAATATCATTTATTATTTTTAATCATTATAATTTTAATTTTATATTCTCTAATAGGATTTGTCTTAATATTATTAAGGATTATAGTCTTATAATTATTATTAATACACTTATAATTAACATTATTTATTTTATTATTATTTATATTACTGTATTACTAATTTTTTATTTTATTATTGTGTGCAATAATTTTTATAATTTTAATTCTCATTACTATGAAATGAATAAGATTTTGCTTTTTGATGATGTTTTTGTTAATTTTAAATACATTTTAAAGGCGATATGTTAATATTATATAAATTTTAAGACGATTAAATATAATTAGTATTATTTAAAGATTAATTTAACTAGTCTTTATTATTATTATTATTATTATTAAATTAAAGTTTAAGACTTAACTAATTTTATATTTTATTACTTTCATTACTTTAAATTATATTTAAATTTTTCTTATCACTTATTATTTTAGCATCATTAATTAATCTATTTAGATAATTATTTGAATATTTTTAATCTTATTATTATTAAAATAATAATAATAATAATAAAAATTTTACCATTATTAGGATTTTTTTTAGGTTCAATTATAGAATTATCGAATTTTGAGGAATTAATATCAGCTTTAGAATGAGTTCCACTATAGAAATGTTTTTTTAAAAGTAAATAATAAGAAGTAGTTATATGATTATGCTTATTTGCTTCCAAAGAATTTATTAAATGTTCTTTATCTATTTAATATTAAACTAACTCTTCTACAATATCATAATCTATAGGAATTTAATTATATCCAATAATAATTCCTGGGGACATTTTATATTCTCTTTTATGTAAATTAAACCATTTATGATTTTTTATTTCTTCGAATTTATATCTTTTTTAAGGATCTACATTTAAAACTTTCTAAAGTAAATCCTTTGCATCATAAGATACAAAATTTGGTATCTAATAATCACCACTTAATATTTTTTTATATAAAGAAGATGTATTTTCATCTTCAAAAGGTAAATAACCACATAATAAAGCAAATAAAATGACACCTGAACTCCATATATCAACCTAAGGACTTTCGTATCTTTTACCAGCAATCATCTTTTTAATTTTTATTATTTATTAATTATTTTATATTTTTTACTTCAGGCGCAGCATAACAAGGAGAACCGCATGCTGTTTTTAATAGTTCATTTTTTTGTAAGTATTAGATAAACCAAAATCTACTATTTTTATATTTGTATTTTCATCTAAAAGTAAATTTTCAGGCTTCAGATCTCTATGAACAACTTATATTTTATGTAAATATTCAATTCCATATATTATTTCTTAAAAAAATTTAGCTGCTTAAATTTCTTTTAATCTAATAAAAAAAAAATAATTTATTATAATATAAATAATATGTTACCTTTAACATTTAACAATATAGTCAAAAACTTCTCCTTGACTACAATATTCCATTGCTAAAAAAATATGAGTAGGTGTTTCGATAATCTAGAAATATATATATATATATATATATATATATATATTTTAAATATATATGAATATAAATTTATTAATAAATATATTCATTTATTAATATTATAAATAATTTAAAATTAATTTAACTTCATATAATTATATTATAGCTGGATGCCTTATTTAATTTAATATAAAAATCTCTCTTTAAACACGTTCAACGTCTGTAACATCAATAATTTTACTTTTTCTAATATTTTTATTGCTACTAATTCTCCTGTAAGTATATGTGTTGCTTATTTTACTTTTCCAAATGCTCCTATACCCATTGTTTTTCCTAACTTTTAAATTTAATTTTACAGATAAATAATCTAAAATATAAATACCTAATGTATAATTTCCTAAATTTTTAGATTTTTTTTCTTTAAAATTTAAATTCGCAGACATTTTTTTTTTGTTTTAAATATTTACTATTATAATGTTTAAATTTATTTTTAGTTGTTTTTTTTAATTATTGATTTTTTTTTTGAATTTTTTTAAATTTTTTTTAAATGATATAATAATAAATTAATATATTTAAATATTTTTAATATAAAATTTATTTTATTTATTAAATATTTAAATAAAAAATTAATATATTTATTATAAAATAAAAAATATTTATTATTATATTATTCATAAAATAATTAGTTATAATATATATATTTAATATTTAATAGAGATGTGTAAAAAAATATATATATATTTATATTATTATAATAATAATATATAAAAGAAAAAAAAAAGAATTATATTTAAACATAAATATTTAAATATAAAATAAAAAAAAAATTAAAAATAAATATATATATATATTTATATAAATATATATATACTTTTTATATTTAATTATATGTTTTATTTTTAAAAATTTAATTTTGTATCAAAATAAATCATTTAAATTTCATATTCTTATTTATAATTTAGTTAATTTCTAAGTTTTTTTTAATATTTTTTTAATTATATCTTTTGATCTTTTATTATAATTATGACTTTATTTAATATATATTTTTCTACAACATTATTTAAGATATCATAATAATTATTATAAAAATTTCATAATAAAAAATTATAAAATATATTATATAGAAAAATTATGATATAAAAGTACTTTCCTTATATTACATTATAAATGATTTTTTTTTTTTTTTTGTGCTGCTTCTTTAATACAAACTATATATCATTTTTCCGGGAAGTATATTTTTATAAATAATAATATATAAATTATGAAAGAAAAGTTTTAAAATTAATTTTGTAAATACGCATATGTTTCTAAAATATTTATTTTTATATTAAATAGACATCTTTTATTATCAATATATTAATACTCCTATATCTAAAGGCTAACTTATTTTATTTTTAATTTTTTATTATTATTTTTGTTTTATTTTTATATTTATACTCTATTTTTATTCATTATATATAATTACTATCTTTATAATAAATAAAAAAATAATAATTATTGTAAAGTGATATATTTTTATTTACAAATTTCTTATATTGTTTTAAATCATATAAAATAAAGAATTAAAAAATATAAAAATATTTTATTTTTGTATATTTCATTTTTATGATTATTAATCACTTTCTTCATCATCAAAATTATTAATATTCTTCAAAGAATCCTAATATTCGTCTTAAAGTTTATCTAAAGCTTAATTAGCCAAATCCAGAGTCATTTTAATTTATTCATGCTTAAAAATAATAAGCTAAAATATATATAAAATAAAATATTACTGATTTCATAATTTCCTTTAATGAATTAACTACTTATTAGTTTTCTTTGACTAGAACACTTTTATTCATACATATAGCTCTATTTATAGGAAACCAACTAATTTCTTTTTATTCTATTTTTTCTGCTACGTAACTTTCAATACCAGTATATTCAGTTTATTTTTTATCTTACAAATAAGCAATATAATATAAATAATTCCACATATAATGATCTTCCTATAAAAAAAGATAAATACAATAATATTAAAAAATACCTTTGTATGAAATTTAAAGTCTTAATTTTTATCTGAATCTTTTTCAATTTCTTCATTAGAAAATCCACAAATAAAACATTTATTTTTGAGATCAGAGTCATAATTTTTAGATTTTTCTCTTAATTCTCCAAACTAATCAATAATAATACCAGAAACAATATTAATCATAACAATCATGAGTAAAATATAATAAATATTATCGAAGAAAAATCTTTTAAATAAAAAAAATAATTATTTAATATATATATATATATATATATATATATATATATATATATATATATATATATATATATACACATATATATATATATTTATATTTATAAATAACCTAGTAAAAAAATATGCAATGTCACTATCTTCTCTATTTCCATCATCTTTTCTAAAACTTTAAAAAAACCCTCCAATACCACCATCATATTTAAAAGATCTATCAATAGCCGTTAATAAGCATTTAAAAGTACTTGCACAATATTCCTCAGGATATGATTCTCTCAACCAATAATAACCGAAAAGTGTGAAAATATACATTAGTACAATAAAAAGGAAATAAGTATACATAATAGCTTTTTTTGGTATCCATACAGACTTTACCACATTTAATAAATCAGGATATCTTACAATAATATCAAATAAATGGAAACAAAAGAAAAATGGATTATAAACAGTTCCAACAATAGCTGTAAGTCCATAAAAAATATAATATAACACATAAAAATCAGAAAATAAATAATAAATAGTCTTTAATAATCTTAAAATATAAATAACTAAATTTATTTAGTCTTTATTCTTTTTATAAATTTAAAATAAGTATATATATATATATATATATATATATATATATATATATATATATATATATAATAATAATTTTTTACTATTCCTTCCCAAGCCTTCATAATTAATAATGGAGCAGTTAATAAAAGAAAATAGGCAACAATAATATTACTTAAAACAATAATTACCGTACCCATAATTCTAATGTTTTTGAAAACATCTAAAAAATATATGAAATAAATAAATAATATGTATTTTATAAAAATATATACTATCTTATATATGAATAACACTATCGTTTCCTTATTGTTATCTATCATAATATATTAAAATAAGAATATTTATAGAAATCGACATTAAAAAAGCAATATCTTTCAAAAGTCCAATATTTTTAGAAATAATATATATTGGCTTAATCTTTTGTAATTAAGAATTTAAATAATAATTGTGTTTCATCACTTTTATTAAATGTTCTGACTATTACATTAAAGATGTCACTTTTCCTTTTACAGATATTCTATTAGCATTATTATTAAACTTTATTTTTGATTATTTATCTAAATCTTTACAAAAATAAGGTTAATAAAAGTAAGTTTTTTCTAATTAGTTTTCTGTTTATCCATCTATATTATTATAAAAAGAAATAAATAATAATAAAAAAAAAAACAACTATCAGATTCTCTAAGAACTTCAATATGAAGAAGATTTTATTAAAAAAACTTAAAGCTTAATCAATTAATTCATCTCTAACTTTTTTTATTTTTCTTTTAATAATTCGAAATCATCTTATTATTTATTTTGAACGAAGTCAATTCCTTTTTTAATATTCTCTTCAGCAACTTCTTTAATTCCAATAAAAATACTATAACATAGTTTAACTAAGTCTGAAACTATATTATGTTTAAGTAAATTCTTTTATAAAGGCTCTTTTTTTTCTTTTTTTTAAATTCTAATTTTCCTAATCATCTTCATTGATTTCTTTAAAAGTACTTAATAAAATAAACAAATTAAATCCAGTTTCTATTATAAAACTACATTTATTATTATGTTCTTCATTTCCGATAATTGGTTCCTATTTAATAAGAAAAAATATTAATAATATTAATAATATTAATAATATAAATAATATTAATAATAATAATAATAATAATAATAATAATAATAAAATTAATTATAATAATAATAATCATAATAAATATATTATTTATTAAATTTTGATAATATATATTATTATATATATATATATATATACTAAATACAAAATGATTAAATAGATCTTTATTATAATTTCCTTTACCAATTATTATATATTAATTATAAATATCTGTAATATTCCTTTTAATAACATCGATATTTAATGTTTTCATCATTTTAGCTGCAATATCATCATCTTTTTATCTAGCTTCTAATAAAGAAATTAAAGTAATTGAGCATTTGTATTTAAGCTTCGCTATTTCCCATTTAGGTAAATCTTCTATTTCATTTTTATCAGAATAATTTTACAGTTATTCATCTAACATAGTCATTGATATTAATACTTATTATTTCTTTTTTTTAAAATCTATATATTAATATCATCGATTATTTCATCAATACCCAATAAAGAAGAAGCTAAATCCAAGAAATTATCCTATATAAGTGCATATTAATTTTCCTTACAAGGCCCTTGAATATATTCAGTCAATGTATCAAAACACTAAGTCATATTTTTAATATAATTAACTCTTTTTCTAATAAAATAATTATTCAAAAGCTCAATAATAGCCTCAATAAGGTCATAATTGTGATAATTTTAAGTCTATAATCTCATATACTTTTACAAATCTAAATAGTGACCTTCCGCACATAATTATAAAAACCTCAAAACATTAAAAATAATATCGTCCTATTCTTAAAACATGTAAACCTTTCCTTATAAGTCATCATTTTATGAATTTTAAGCATCTCTTTTTAGCCTCGCACTTTCTTCCGACAGTTATTAATGAAGTCTTCTAAAAAATACTTCTGAAGACGTAAAATTCATAAAATATTAATAAATAGACTTCTAAACTTCCTTATTTCCATCCTCTAACAACCTAATACCAAATTTAATCAAGTGGTTAAATAGATAATTGCTCATTTTAACATTAGTATAGTCTGAAAGGAGACTCAAAACCATATAAGTAGCACCATTTTAACTCAAAAAATTTTAATTATTTTCCATTTCTTCTTTTATCATCTCGTCTTTTTTCTATTCGTCATCTTCTTTTTCCACATCTTCAGTCCTTATATCAATAAAATCACCCAAAATTTCAATTATTAGCTTAAAAGTGTCCATAGACTCATTTTCAGTATATGATTTGCGCAAATACTAAATTATTTTTTTAAATATTTCAGTTTTGCTAACAATTTCATTCACTATGGGAGTTTTTTTGAATAACTTTTCGACATTTTCTAGTGCTTAAGCAAATATTTTGTGCTCTATAGTGATGAATTCTTGGAGATTTTTTGAGTTTAAAAATCTGTCTAAAAATATGTCCCATAATTTTTGCCATATTTAATCTTCGGATTATAAATTATTGAATTACTATTGTTTATATTGTTTATTTATTTAATTTTTATTTTTATTACTTTTATTTCTTCTTGATCATCATCTGTAAACGATTATTTTCTCATCAAATTTAATACATTTCCAATTTTATTAAAATGATTTAGTAAATTGTCTTTTTCTTTTATTGATTTGGTATTTTTTCTTATATCTATTGACTAAACCTTTTATTTTTCGGTTAAATTCTTATGTTCATTCTCCTCTTCGAGTTTTATTTTATTACCGTCAATCAAAGAAATAAATACTTACCATCTTTATTAGCATTTTTCAACGAAAATTTAAGCTTTTGTGTCTTCTTAAGGAAGCCCGAAAATATTTTTCTAATTAACAACTTCGATTAATTTATGAATTTCATAATTAATGTCAAAATCTTCCGAATTTTCTTTGTTTTCTTTATTTTCATTTTTATTTGAATTTCCTTAAAAGCTGGAACTTTTTTAATTAATAAAGGCGATTTTATACGAACATAGTACAAAAATAAACTAATTAAAATATTCATAAAATTCCGGCAAAAAAAAAACGAATTTTAAATTCGAATAATTTCGAATCTAATATAAGAAACAAAAAATTTAATATGACGATTAAATTCGTCCGATATTTTCTCACTTTCTAAAAAAGTATAATATATAAACAGAAGTAAAGGCATTTTTATATAAGTTATTTCCTTAGGATTTATATTAAATGATTATTTATTTAAATTATTCTCATTTAATAATTATTAAAAGCTGCTACTTTATTACGAGCTACTAACAAAAGAATTATTCTAGTTTAAATTAAATTATTCGTTACTTTTTATAGAAAATCCATCTTCACTGCTCAGAAGTTAAAATATGTATTTCAAGCTTAAATGAGACCTTAATTTTTACTCACTCATATACATTCCTTCTTTTCCAATAGTCGTAAAAGCTAACATTTTAATCAATTAAGAATGATAAAGGTATGGTTCGTCTTTATAGTGTTAATTTTTAGCTTTATGGTATTCTGGTTGGAAGCAAAAAACTTATTCATTATTGTTGCCATCTTTAGGGTTTTTTAAATAAAGGAGATGTTATTTATATTTTGCGTCTAAAAAAAGATTCAAAATAATTTTTTGATTTTAAATCAAATGCTCGTCTTTAACTTTCTAAATTAAAATAAAGAAATCTAAAAATTTAGCCTATCTTCCATTATTTATAATCAGATTAATAAATTCATCCATAGCAATATGTTACTTTTCTAAGCTAAATTTTTTTATTATCCCTAAAAATCTCACAAAAAAGTCCTTCCACACCCAAATCCAAAGGCAAAGCTTAAGAAATCGCCACTAAATATTCACTCAAAAGCATCTAATTAGTAGTATTATTTTTAACAAAATTCTTCAAAAATCCAAAACAAGTTTCAAAAAGAACCCTTAGTTTATCACAATGAAGTACTTCTGAGCCTTATTGACTTCTCAAATTTTCCTACTCTATTAAAAAATAAACACTATCTTTCACCAAATTAATAGCTTATTTATACGCCCCATTATGCTATAAAATTTGCTATCTAATATTATCAATTTCATCGCCTGTAAATTCTTCGTTTTTTCCATAAGTAATTTCCCCTTGTTCATTTAAACTATTCTTTTTTAGCAAAATATCTCTAAAAAATGTCAAATCTTAACATGTTTATTATAATTATTCCATATTGTTATTAATTTTCAAATTCTGCATCCAAATTTCACTCTCATCGACATTTTTCGATAAAGCTTTTATATGTTTTTTCGAGCACTCTAAAATCCGCTAATTTTCATGATCAAATAAAATCAATAAATTAGATGCCAACTAAGCGAATTCTTACCTCTAGTTATAAAATCTAGAAAGTACATACAAAATCTACTTCTCCATTTAATAATTTTAAGTAAACGAAAACAACACAACCAAAAGTGGGAAAATCTAATACTCTAATGCATTATTAATACTCACAATTTCAAAAAAACCGCCCTAAATTTTCTAACTATTAAAGTGTTTTTCATAAGCTGGATATTCATCCACTGCAGTTCCTGTTTATAGTACATTAGGTAAAAATAATTCGACATTATCTTCTATTTTTCTTTTGAATTCATAAAGAATTTCCATTTTATTTTATGTACTAAGTTGCTAATTTTTATTACTAAGCTTTTAATGAAGATTAGAGCATTTTTCAGTAACAAAGTTATAGAATAAATACTGCAAACGATTTATCATAAAATCTTGTTTATAATTAATATATTATTTAATTATTTCACAGATTTCGGTTTTTATTTTAAATTCTATATCATCGACATTATCACTTAAATATTTCTATAGTATTTTTTTCAATACATCTGTCTATTTCAAAAAGTTATCCGATAAAGAAATATCATCAGAAATTATGTCTAATTTTGAGGCTTTTTTTTCTTTTTCTTATTCTGTTTTTCCTACTATTTTAACGCATTAAACACATTTATCATTTCTAATCCTTTCCCTATCAATCCTTTAAAACAATTGAAGAATTTCTTTCCTTATTCTTATATTTTATTTTAGTTATTTTTATTGTCATTTCTTTTCTAAATTAGGACTCTTCTAGCTTCTGGAAAAGTCTTATCGAATTCCAATATAGGCATTATATTGCATAAAATTGTAAAAAATTATGCTTTTTGGTTTTCCTTTAATTTCATCATTTCGTTATGAATATCATATTTCCCAAAATCTATTAATAAACGGATCATTTTTATAATTTCTAACGTTAAATTATTATATATATCAGTATATTATTTCGTTTAAATTTAAATTGGCTATTTTTCATTTCCTGAGTATATTTATGATATTATTAATGATTTTTATTCAATATATTATAGAAGTTTTTGTTTTATTTAATCAATATCCTACTCTTGCTCATTATTTTATTCATCGTTTCCTTATTTTCCTTTAAATTCTGATTTAAATTCACGACAAATTTATGGAAATTATTAAATTCTTTTCGGTTCTTAATCGACATAAACCTACATATTACATAAAAAATAAATATATATATTTTATTTTTTTCACCTTTTTTATTAATTAACATATAATAGCTTTTGTGTCTATATTTTTAAAACTACTATCAGTAATAATTTCAATTAAACTTTAAAATGAAAAATTATTTTGTACAAATTTTTTCCATGTATTGTTTCTTGAATTACACATACTTGCATAAAATTTTATTTAATCACTAATAATATTTAATAACTCAATGTCATTTTTTTTTTAATTACTATTAATTATTTTTTTTATAATTTAAAAAAATATACACAAATTATTTTTTTTAAAAAAAAAAACTAACCCAAATGCTAATAATCCATAATTTTATTCATCTTAAGAAATTTCTTTTTTATTAATAACATTTTCATTTACAACTTTATAAGAATTATTTTTTTATCCTATTTCAGTAAGTTTTCTAATTTCGTTCTTATTTACATTAATAATAAGATTTTTTTATACACTCGTAATTTTAAGAAGACAATTATTATCATACAAAGCTTCCTAATTTTCCCAAATGAGATTTTTATAGATATTTTCTTGATTAATATTAACACCCTATTCATACAAAGTGGAACTAAACGACAAGAAGTTTAACAATTCTCTTTTTTTATTGAATTCTTAAGTATCTATAAGTAACAAACAGAAAAAAGTGATCATATCCCATTCAAATTTGATATTGCAATTTTAATACAAGCAAATTTATTCAGAGAATTTCTCATATTTTTGATTATATAAAATTTATAATTATAATTTTTTTAATAAATTTAAGCAGCTTAAGGATCATCATCACAACTATTATTATCAATTAGTTTTTTGATATAACTGCATTTCTATGATAGTTTTAATTTTATTTTTTTGAGTATAAACTATCAACAATAAATGCATTATCTATTTTTTAGAAAAATATAAATATAGATATATATATAAATATTTATATATATATATATATATATATATATATATATATATATATAATTAATTTCAATATTACTAAAATTACTATTATCTTTTATATTTGTTTAAACATCATTTTATTAAGTACTTACTTTATTTAAAGTATATAATAGTCCTTCGTAATTTTTAATAATTGATAAAATGCAATCCATAGCTCCGTAAATATATTTAGACTACATAGCAAATAAAGGTAAGTAATTTTTAGTTTTTTCTTGATTTTTTTGATTATCTAAACATATACTTGATAAAAGCTTATATATTAAAGCACATGTTTTTTATTTTCTACTTATTGGTTATTCTTATAAATCAATACCAATATCTTAAAAAATATAATACAAAAAAAAAAAAAAATACATTATATATTTATTAATTAATAAATAGTAACTTTTTTTTAAAGCTGAATCGTTAATACTTGTTGAAATAAGATTATTATTTTTATAATCGTTTCCTTTATCTATATTTTTAATTGAAATTAAGTCTTCTATTTTAGGAAAAGAAATTGCTAATAAATAGACTAAAAGTTCAATAAAGAACTACTCACGGAGTACATTTTAAATGAAAGTATTAATTGCACCATATTCCTAATCTACATATAAATATGAAAGTAATTTATTGTGACAGAATAAATTTAAATCATCTAAACATTTATCTAATCTGGTAATTTTGAGTTCGAATCTTTTTTATTCTTATTAATATTAATTTTTCTTACTTTTTATATTTTCTATAAACTTACAAATAATTTTAATTTTAAATTTAATAATAAAAAAAAAAAAAGAATACTTTAGGATTTAAAAATTTAAATGTTTTTTTAATTGTTTTTCTACATTATAATAAAAATTGAGTCATTCTAACTTCATTAGAATTTGCCTTTGCTAATTTAAAAACATTTTCTTCTTTTTTTGTAGTTGAAAAAGCAGGATAAATCTACTTTTAAGTCAAATCTTAATTATTATCATCTAAAAAATCCTAAGCATAACTCATAAAAACATCTCCAAGTTCATTGAAATCAGCAGTTTTAAGCCAATATTCAAGATTATCTAAAAAAAATATTAAAAAACTAAAATAAATAAAAAATAACCTTATTAAATATCTTTATCTGAAGTAGACATTCTAAAGAAGGAATCTTTTTGCAAATACTTAGTAGTATTTTTAGAATTTCTAGAACTTAAAGTTGAATATATTAATTCAAATTTAAACAAAGAAGCTTTTTCGATATCCTTTTACAAAACCAAACATCTGCTTTTTTCGTCAGTTTCGACTTCATTTGTACCTTTCATTACGCTTCCTAAACTCAAATACATATTTGTGGTTAAATGTCGTAATTTATACATATTTTCCCACTTCACTATTCCTCCATATTGCATATTTTCGGATTCAACAACAAACATACCATTTGAATTTCCTATAAATTTCTTGTATTTTTCTGTTTATTCGCATCCTTCAAATTTCAAATAATAATGTTCTTCATCTAATTCTTAATTATAGATAATTGACTAAGATAAGCCTTATGTATTATTTTTTTTTTTTCCATTATTTATATCCAATTCAAACATTTTTTAAGCAATTAAATTCAACTTATTTTAATTTTAACAAAAAAAATATTATTTTTTATTTTACATCTTCTTCTGAATAATTAATCCATATTATATCACAAACACTTAATAATCCAGATTTTTCATCATTATATTCACTAAAAATTTTTAATTTCCATTAAGATTTTTTATCAGTTGATATATTAACTTCCTTTTTTTTAAAACCATTTTAATTTTGGGGTTCTCCAATATCTTTAGAAGCATGTAAATAAGGATCTCCCATATTATTCCTCTAATCTTTTGTGCTTATAATATAGACAGTATCTGAATCATAAATTTACCCTTAACTTTCTTATTAATAACTAAAACAAGGCTATATTCTAAAAGAAGTTTCATCAGAATATTCTTCTGAAAGCGAAACTCTTTTTTTTATTTTTTATTTTTTTATTTTTATTTTATTTTTACTGAAAGTCGCTTTCGATTTCAGATAAATTTGTTTAATCATAATATAAGTATTTATTTGAATTTACATGCAAAAATTATATAGTTTATCCATATAAAACTGGAGTTCCTTTAAGTTTTTCATATTAATCATAATTAGAAGATACTTCTTCTTCCATTAATTTTATTTGTTTTGGAATTAATTATCTAGCCTCTATTTATATTTTTCTATTTTTCTTATTATTTTTATTTTATTACCTCTCTTGCTTTATTGTAATTGATTTTGCTTAAATTCATCTTTTTGTTTTTCCTATATTTTTTAAACGTATTATTATTTAGTTTTTATATATTCTTTATTCTGGAATGGAGGATATATTTTAAATAAACCGCTTGTAAAATTACCATCCTTTTTCATTTATTATACTTATTTTAATCTTATTTTATATTTCGTAAATCCTTCTGCTGTGGCATAAAATTCTTCGTTTTGCTCGTTTTCAAAACATAAATATATACTACAGCCGAAATGAAGAATATTTCTAGAACAAGCATTTTATTTAAATTGATCGTAATCAATATCAGCCATTTTTATATTTTTTATTTTTTAAATTTATAATTAAATATTTATTTTATATATAACATAAAGATTAATAGTATTTTTTTTTAAAAAAAATAATATATATATATATATATTATTATTCTTTTACTTTATTTATTATATTATATAAATATATATATTTAAAGGTTAATTATTATTATTATTATTATTTATTTTTTAAAAAGTAATTATTTATAAATTTATATATATAAAAAATTAATAATATAAAATCAAGAAATATACAATTAGCCATATAAAAAAAATATTTTATCTTGAATAAATAATAATTTTATTTGAAGTTTTTTAAATAAATAATATAAAATTAACATAAATAGTAGAAAAAAGACTAAATTATAAGTAATACAATAATATATATATATATATAAATTTAAATTATTTTTATTTCAAAATTCATGTGAATCAAAATAAATATTACTTGCTTTTTAATACTCTTTTCCTTAAGCAGCTTTTAAACTTTCTTAAAATTCAAAATCTTTTGATTAAAAAAATTTAAAAAGTAATAATAAATATAAGTTGAAAAACCCATCGAATCTTCTTCAAATTTAAACTTTTTGTTCTTTTTCTATTCTTTTTTAATTCCTAGTTCATTTAATTATTTATAAGATTAATCAAATTCTGAGCTTTAATCAAATTATATAGTTTTTTGATTTGCATTGGATTACTATGTAAGAGTAGTAAGTTTTTATTTTTGCTATTGAGAATCAATAATGAATCCGCTTTCACCATACATTTTTTGATGAGAGTTTTATTTAGAGCTTTCAATATTACTTCTAATATCATGTAGAATTTCTTCTACTTCCATCTTTTTTTTATTAGCTAAGTAAAAAATATAAAAATAAATGTACTTCAGGCATACTTTCGAGTGCTTAAATAGTATAATTAATTCCAATTTTTTTCATTTATAAATTCAATTAACTTTCTAGATTATTCAAAATTCTGTTTTTTTCAGCCTTATCAAAATTTCCTTTTCCTTTACTTTCAACAATTTAAAGTATTTATTTTTCTTCTTCATAATAATTATTCCATTTATTTTCGCCATCTTATGCTGTTTAAAATGAATTATCTTAATTTTCTTCATCTTTACTTAAATTTTCTTATATTTCATATCTTTTTTACAATACTTCGATTGCAGCAGGGTTATTCTTTTTTTTAAAAAAATTTAAAATTTTAATTATTATTATTTTATATACTAATTTAAGTAATAAGGATTGTTGCTGTTATTAACTTTTTTCCATTTTTTATATATTTTCTTGTGTATTTTAATCTTTCTATATTTACATTTCATTTTCAAATTATTAAATATATAATTAATTTTATTCTTTTTATTCTTCTTATATTTCTTTTACTTAAACCTGTTAAACAATCACGGGTCGATCTTTTATAACTTCAATTTTCTTTTAATATAAAAAAAAAAAAATTAAAAAATCATAAGATTATTTACGTCATGTAATTCATTCATAGCTTACATTAAATTTAAAATTCTTTCTTCATAAAATTACACATAATTATCTTTTTTTCTTTTTCAATTTAAATATTTTCAAATTCCTTTAATTTTTATTAAATATTGGCCTAAACTTACATTTATTCATCTTTATTTTTTTCTAATAAAATCTATAATTTTTCAACTATATTTTCATTTTATTTTTCAGCCATTTATTTCTACATAAAAAAGTCTCTTTCTTATTATAATTATTAAGCAAAAACCATATTTTACATAATAGCATAATCAGGGTGGTTTATATTAATGGGCAACATATTTACATGTCTTCTTTTCATATGTGCATCTAAATAATCTTCATTTTAAAAATACTATATTTTAAAAAATTATTTATTCTATTTTTTTTAATTAAATATTTATATTTACTTTATCTGTACATATATGGCATTTGTAGTTTGGCTTTGATTTTAAAAATGCTTTGTATTTTTAAAGAGCTTCTTTTTTCAAATTGATTTCTTGTTTTAAATGCTCAATTTATTTTTTACTTTTTTTCAATAATAATTTATCATTTTCAGCTTTTTTATATATTTAATCTATTTCTCCTTCTGTTTCCTTTGTTAAATTGCATAAATAATCTTATGTATAATCAAAATATTATAAACTCATTTAACATGTTTGCATTAATTTTAAAAGAATTTCAGGTTTTAATTTTATATATTCTTCCTCTGTTATATGCGAATTTAAAAGATTTGGTAATTGGCTTTCAATAGAATCAATTTGATTAGAATTTTACATTAATTATACATCTAAATTATCTATAAATCTCCAATTTATTTACTGATATTTTTAATACATATTTTATTTAAAAATATATTTATTTTTATTAAAGATAAATTTAAATACAGTACTTGTATACAGTAATTTATATACAGGAAAAAAAATATATAGAAGAGAAAAATTATATGCAAAGAAATATATTATTAAATTAAATAAATTTTTATATTTAAATTTTCTTACCAATTTTAATAATAATAAAAAAAATAAAGTTCAGACATCCTATATTAGACATATTTTGACCTAAGTCACATATTTAGAATTTAAAAAGTATATATTTATGGATAAGATATTTTATTTGTATTTACTATTATAATCAATATTTTATTAATTTTTAAATAATTTTAAATTATAGATAGAAAGAATTTAAAAAATTCAAAAAACACAAAAGGAATAACGAAACTTCTAAAAAAAAGGGCCAAAATTCTAAATATAAGAATTCTAAAATCTGGAATATACTTTTTTTTTTTTATAAAATGCATTTTGCAATATAGCATGTAACAAAAAAGTATGAAAAATTTATTTAATCGCTTTTCTATTAAAAAAAAAGTTTTCAAATTTAGACAACCAAATCGAAACTCAATATTTTTTCAAACTATTAATTTTTTGTTTTCATATTTAAAAATTTAAATTTCTACTTTTAATATTTCAATTTTATACACCGAAAATTTCATAATTTTAAAAAAATATGAAAAAATAGTTATTAATAAATCTTAATATAAAAATAAAAGTTTAAATTTTAATTTAAATATAAAAATAAATTATAATAAATAATTTAATATATGTAAAGTAAGTAGTCTAATTAATATAGATAAAAAATAATTTAAATATATAAATAAAAAAATAAAAAAATAAATATAAATACTTATTAAAATATTTTTTCATTATATTAAATATACGAAACAAATCAATTAAAAGTTATAATAAAAGTTATTATACGAAGTGTGGCAATTTTAATATGAAATTAGGGCAGGATATATTTTTATGATTAATTTTTATTTTATTTTTTAAATAAATTTAAAATGTAAATATATATTACAAAAAAATATCTAAAAAATAAGATATAATATAAATATTTCAATAATAAATAGAGATGAAATTAATAATAAATTAAAATGATTCTATTTTATATATAAATATAAACAACGCTAATTAATAATCATAGATAAGATAGGCATCTAAACTTAAAATTTAAAAAAATTACAATTATATATTTAAATATCAAATGTACTCTATATATATACCTTTCTGCTTCAAAGCTATTTTAAATATATTTTAAGTAATAATAGACATAATTAAAACATAGAGATAAAAAATAATAGAATATAAATAATATTTATTTATATATAAATATATTATAAAATGAATTATATAAATATCTATTATATTAAATATTTATTAATTTATAATATTTATTGAAAAAAAAAAAAAATTTAAAAATTATATATAATATAATGTTAACATATAAAAATATAATTTATATTAATAAAATTAATTAATGTATTAATACTTAAATATTTAAAATAGAAAAGTTTAAATCATTAAATATAAATTTTATAATTTAATTTTTAAATTTATAATAATTATTATTCAAATATTTATATATTATATTATAAAATAAAAATGATGTATTTTAAAAATGGTAATATATTTAAATAAAAAAAATAAGATTGATTTAATAATATTAATGTATACTATTTAAAAAATTTAATAATTTAATTGTTTAAACAATACATAATATATATAGTTATATAATAAAAACATAATTAATTGTTAACAAAAATTTGTAAATTTTAAAAATTAAAAATATTAGTAGTGAAAGTAAATTAAATTAAATTAAATTAAATTAAATTAAATTAAATTAAATTAAATTAAATTAAATTAACTTTTTTTTAATTTATATTTAATTAGTTTTAGTTTAATTATTTCTAAAATAATAATTTATTATTAATAAATCTTTTCTTATAATAATATTAAAAAAATATTAATTTTTTGTATTATTAAAATATAAAGTGTATAATAATTTATTTATAATCTTAATTATTTTTTAAAATTATTTATATTTTTTACAAAATATATTCAATTTATGTTTATTTTTTAAGGTAATTATGTATTATCTTTATTTTTTTTATATCTATATATTTTTTTTTACTTTATTATTTATTTATTTTTATTATAATTATTTATTTTATTATTTATTTAAATAAAATATACACTATTTATTTTAAGTAATTTAAATTTTGAATATATATATTTTTTTTTTTTAATTGAGATTAGAAAAGATGTATAAAAAATTAAAAAAAAAATTTACACATTCTATTATATGCCAATAATTCTTTGAATCAATAATTATTAAATAAAATAATAATAAGTATTAAAATAATTTATTTAATAATTTTTTATTATAACTTTTTTAATTAATCTATTAATAACCCAAAATAGTTATCTCAGTGTAATGAATTTTGATAGATTTAAGATTTTAATTTTGTTAAACTTTTTAGGAATTTTTTTAAATCTAAACTTAAATTAAAAATTTAAATTAATATAAATAATATAATTTAAATAAAAAATATAAAAAAAAAAATTATTATTTATATAAAATTTAATATATTATATATCTTTATATATATTCAAATGCATAAATGTATAAATATTTCATAATTTTTAATTTTCTAAAAATTAAAAATAATATAAC